ACCTGTGCTGCATCAGGTGACTGACACCTGGGCCCACAGAACCACACACCAAACACCAGATTGGACCTGTGTTTTCAATGACTAGGTTGTCTCAGTGAAAAGTTTGTCTTACTGGGCAGTGCTTAGGAAGCAAGCTGTCAGCCTTGATGGAAGGCCTTGGAGCAGACAGCCAAAGGCAGTGGTTGGGGCTAACACTGTTGTCCCAATGGACAGCACTGGATTTCACCTGTACCTCCCAGCTCAGAACTTTTTCCAATTGGGATCAAATCCCATAGCAGCGTACCTACCATTTCCATCATTTTAAGGTATACAATTCAGAGGGTTTTTTTCTTTTAAGTACATTAACAGTGCTGTAGAACCATCACCACTGTCTAGTGTCAGGCCGTTGTCATCATACCAGAGGAAACCCTGCACCTTCTGAATGCTTATGTTCCATTACCTCTTCTCCACTTGACAGCCACTAACTTTTTGTCTCTGTGAGTGAACTTACCAGGGACATTTCATAGCAGGGGATTCATTCTATATGATCTTTTCTATATAGCCTTTCACATCCAGCACACCATGCTCAAGCTTTGTCGGTGTGGGAGTAATACTTCATGGCTTTTGTATCAATATTTCAGTGTAGGAATGCAGCAGCCCTTGCTTACTCACTCCGCAGTCGACAGAATTGGAGTTATATTCATCCGTTAGCTATTTCGAACAGCACTGTGCAAGCGTGAACACACACATCTTTGCCTGGCTGTATGTTTTCATTTCTCTCAGGTTCTTATGTAGGAGTAGAACATTGAGTCCTGTCATGATGAGCTGACTCTACCTGACCTTGGGGTCGTTGCCAACTCTTTTCTGCGGGGCGGTGCTCTTTAGTATTCCCCACCACGTGTGAGGTTCTAGTGTTTCCACATCTTCACTGACATTTGTTTTACCCTCTGTTTAGTGTGTAAGTGTATGTGTTTTGGGCATGTGCGCATACGTGTGCATATATGTGTAGGCCAGAGGTCAACCTCGGGTGTCTTTCTTCAAGAGCTATCCACCTTGCTTTTTGAGACAAGGTCTCTTACTAGGACCCAGGACTCACCAATTCATCTAAGCTGTCTCCAGTGAGCACCAAAGATTAACCTGCCTCTGTCTTCTCAGGTCTGGGATGAGAGGCTCACCACCATGCCTGGCTTTTTACTTGAGTACTGGGGACTGAGGTTGGGTCCTCAGTCTTAGGCGGCAAATGTGCGTGAACGGTATTGTGTTTCATCCAGACCTCCTCCCTCAGAATGCTTTCCAACTGAAATAAAATCACGTACAGTTATACTTGCTATTTTAATCATCTTAAAGTATGCAAGTCAGTGTTTTTAAAACACATTACCAGGGCTTTGCAACGATCACAGTATAGCTTGTACACTGAGCTATTTCCGCAGTTCCCCTTGCTTGGTTGTAACTAAACAAAGTGACGTCTCTCTGTGTGACCAGTGCCATCCCTCCACCTGGGGGCCTCAAGGCATCTGGCAGAGCACTGGCGCTTTGCCCTAGTGAAGATCCCGTAGATGCATAGCAGGGGGCTCTCCCATTGGCTTCACACTTCTATAGCTGTCTGTAGACAGTTAATGTGAGTTATGTCAGTGTGGATCTCTGAATTTATCTGTCTTGGAGTTTGATGCATAGATTAATGGATTCCATCAAATATGGAGATATTTTTTATTGTTTGAGAATTCCACATGCATACACAATGTGACTTGATCAAGTCTCCCTCCCATTCCTTCTCTGTCCTTACCACCACTATTCCCTTCTTCTTCCTCCTCCTTTTCCTCATCTTCCTCCTCCTCTTCCTCTTCTTTCTTTGTTAAACGCAGCATGTCCACATAGTACTGCCTGTATACACATGGGCGTAGTGTCATCTATGGGCCACGGACAGCCTCTCAGGGACTATAAGAAAGCTGACTCTCTGGTTTGGATTTTTTTTTTCTAGCATTCTTTTCATCTTTTCCCTCTTTTGTGTTCTTTGGGGATGTCGCTCATGCAAGGCAGTGAACTTCTTTCGGGCAGCTCTGCTTCCTGTTCTGCAGTTTCCCCTCTATGCCTTCAAGAGATATTCTCATGGGACTTGTTTTCATCCTGTGATGCTGAGGCCTGCTCAATTCGTCCACTTTTTATCTTATTATTAAACTTTTCAACTCCAGTATTCTCTTGCTTCCTTTTTATAATTTCTGTACTATTCCTTTTTATAATTTCTGTAGTAAATATTGATACTGCTTGGAGAGACATTCTCACCATTCCCTTAGGAAGGTCTTCGGGCATGGCTTCCTTTAACTTTTTTTTGTTTGTTGGTCTAGTTTTTGAAACAGGATTTCACACTGTAACCCAAGTGGATCTGGAACTTACTGTGTACCCCAGGCTAGCCTCAAACTTGTGGCTATCCTCTCTACCTCAGTTTCCCAAGTGCTGGGATTACAGGCATGCATCATTTCCCCAGGATATCTCTTGAACATATTTAATTTAGATTTTTTAGTCTTTTCTGGTGAAGCTGCTGTATAGGGCTCCTTAGGGACATTTATTTTAGTTGTTTCCTTCCTGTTTGGAGGCCATTCTTTTTTACTCTTCATATTCTTTGTTTTTGTTGTTGAAAACTGGACATTACAATGTAAGTGGCAATTATGGAAATCAGATTCTCCAACCGTGATTTGTTGTACTTACTGATGTCTCTTTGCACAGCCCATCATTTAAAGGATCAATTCTGTAAAGCCTGTATGTCTTGTCTTGTCTTTGTGGTTGTCCTGTCTCTGTCCCATTAGACTCACAGAAAGAAAAGCAAACCCAGTCTTTGCAGATGGCCTGTGTGAGCTAGGGCCTTGCCAGCACTCAGCCAGGTAGTCCATTTAACTCTTCTGCTCACCTGCTTCCATGCCTAAAGGTCAGCCTAGGAAAGCCTTGGAGGCTTCCTTGATATTTACTGAGTGAGCACACAGCCCAGGCATACACATGGCATCCTGAATCCCAAAGCATTTTCTAATTCCTCATTCCCCAAGCACTTCATGCCCAACCTGACCTCCAAAGCTCTTCTTGTTCCGATTGCAATCCATTGCCTCAGGCACCAACAGCTATATTCTCCTATAAATGGCTTTGACAAATAGTCTTAAGCTGCTGTATTGGCACCAGGCAGGTTCCTGGTATGGGAGATAACGGCAAAGCCTTTGAGTCAGTCTTCCTGGAGCTTGGAGGGAGCTTAGTGGAATGATGCGCCCTGGTGAGGTATGTTATTCCATTGCCAGCACTGGTGTCAGCAGTGGGCTGTGTTTTTCAAGGACACCACTGAGCTGGGAGCAAGGGGTGGATGGAGGTGAATCCCCTAAGCTGAGATCGGGGGTGCACATGGGTGAATCCCCTGAGCTCTGACATCATGGATGGATGTGGGATGAGTCCCCTGAGCTGAGATCAGGGGTGGATGTGGCTGAGTTCCCTGCCCTGGAGAAGGGAAGACAGAGAGAGAGTCCAGATGCTGCAAAAAGGTCATTGTTACTAAGATTCAGTTGTTTTCTCTTAAGGTCCTCATGGTCGCTGCCAGTTTTTGGTTAGTCCCAAAGTCCCATAAAAGTTGGCTCTGGAAGTTTTTACCCATTTTCCGTTACCTTAAGGATGGACTTTTGGAGTGCTTTACTGTGCAATATATTTTCATATAGGATGCTGTGGTTAGGGCTGAGAAAAGTCTTTCCTACCTAGCAGGTATGCTGACAATTACCATCATCACCGGGGGCATGCCTCCCAACAGACATCCAAGCTGCCCTCACTGGCAGGTTGCTCTAACCTGAACCAGCAGGGATTTGCCTGTCTTACACACTCTTGTTGCCATTAGCATAGCTCTAAGAGCCTCTGCTGAACCTCTGGCCTCTCCATTCCAGAAGCAAAGAAGACTTTAATTGGAGGGGGCAGAGAGTCCTCTGAGAAAAAGAGCCCTCCTTTTTTTTTTTTTTTTTTTTTTTTTAATATAGAATCCTCTAGGAAAAGTGAGTCCAGTGCAGCGGGGGAAAAAATGTATATGCCAAACAGTTGGCATAGAAACCTAGAAGGCTCACAGGCCATCTGAATAATTTCTGTGGGTACCAAACAGTTCCTCTGACTTAGAAACCAAGGCTGGCTGGAAAATCAGGCACTGTGGGTTCCCACCTTTCTTGATTGGTGATTCTCAACCCCAGCTGTGCAGCAAAATTACCTGGAAGCTTTGTTCCAAGCTGAGCGGGCCACTGGCATCATGCTTGGAGATGCCAAAGACGCAGGAAGCATTGAAAGGCCTGGTGAGATACAAACCGCTATGAGAAGACGACAGTTTCCTCAGCGACCACCCGTGTCCCAGGCCCCTCCTCATCCGTGAATATGCAGGCAGGACCTCTAAGAAAAACTGCCCTGGTTTCTCATACACCATTATCATATCTTTACATTTTCTTTTACTTCCTACGTTGTGCTCAGTGTTCCTCATTTGGCTTGAAATATCTTTTTTATAATTGGTTCCTTTTAATCTGGTCTAGAGCAGTGTCCACACGGTGCGTTTGCTGGAATTTCATGTTTGTTTCTAATTTATGGCAAGCCCACACCCACCTCTGTTTCCCTCCTTGACTTCGTTGGAGGGTGGATAGATGCTCTCTTTTTAAATACTGACCAGCCCAGGGCAGACCAGACATGGGTTTGTAAAAGGCATTCTACTGCCAGATAGGTGGCACAAACCCTATTTGAATCTAGGGGTTTTTAAACGATTTCCACCCACGACCTCTCCTTGCCTGGGAAATTTTTATGTGTTCCTAACCTCTAGGAGATGAAGCAAGGTAATAAGATAAGGTGTCCACTTTATGGTGTCCTCTGGTAAGCTGGGAGGGATCCCCAATCTGGACAAAGCAGAGCCTGCAAGTGTGCCAGAGTTAGAGGTAAACCTAGGGTAGGAAGCTCCTGCTTCCCCAGACCCTGGATCTTTGGCTAGGCCGGCTTCTCCACGCAGTCCTAATAATACAGTGGTTCTCTTGCAGGCCCCGTCTCCTGATCGCGGCCCGCATATGGGGCCATGGCCAGGCTCCCGGGGCACCCGGAGGCCCCCGGCCCGGAACCTGGCAGCGCAGGTCGAGGAGGCCGAGGAGGCCGAGGCGGTCGAGGGGCCCGGGCTCGGCACGTCATCATCAACGTCGGGGGCTGCAGGGTACGGCTGGCCTGGGCCGCGCTGGCCCGCTGTCCCCTGGCGCGCCTCGAGCGCCTGCGAGCCTGCCGCGGCCACGACGAGCTGCTGCGCGTGTGCGACGACTACGACGTGAGCCGCGACGAGTTCTTCTTCGACCGCAGCCCGTGCGCCTTCCGCGCCATCGTGGCGCTGCTGCGCGCCGGCAAGCTGAGGCTGCTGCGCGGCCCGTGCGCCCTGGCCTTCCGCGACGAGCTGGCCTACTGGGGCATCGACGAGGCGCGGCTGGAGCGCTGCTGCCTGCGCCGCCTGCGCCGCCGCGAGGAGGAGGCCGCCGAGGCGTGCGCGGGGCCGCCGGGCCGCGGGCCGCAGAGGAGCCCGGCGCGAGCCCGAGGCACCGGGCGGCTGGAGCGAGGCCGACGGCGCCTGCGCGATGTGGTGGAGAACCCGCACTCGGGCCTGGCGGGCAAGCTCTTCGCCTACGTCTCCGTGGCCTTCGTGGCCGTCACGGCCGTTGGCCTGTGCCTGAGCACCATGCCTGACATACGCGCAGAGGAGGAACGGGTGAGCGTGGGCATGGGCTCCAGGGCCCAGGACAGGACAGCAGGGGAGCCATGATCGTGGGGGTGGGAATGAAAGGCCGCATCTGGCACCCGGGTGGGATGCAGCGATTCAGAGGATGCGTGCTTATTACCGGTCATAGTTGTCTACTGTACCTCCAGCAGTGGCTGGAGCTGCAGGCTCCACACCCCTGCCCCTCCCCACGCTGTTTGAGCAGTCAGGAGTGAGGGTCCAGTGAGCTGGTGCGTGAGACTCGAAACTACATTAAGTTCCAGGACAAGGACGCACGGCTTTCCTCCCGGGGCCCTCTCGGCATCTCCGACAAACAATACCTACAACGTCTAGACAAGGTAGAGCTTTAAAAAAAAAAAAAAAAAAAAAAAAAAAAGGTAGCTTACAGGGCTAGAAGCAGCGGTTCTCAACCTGAGGTTGGTCAAGCATCCCTTTCAGGAGGACTGCCTATCAGATATTTACAGATATATTTACAGATATTACAGAAGCAAGATCACAGTTATGAAGGAGCAATAAAAGTACTTTTAGGGTTGGGGGTCAGCACGGCATGAGGAACTGTGGAAAAGGGTCGCAGCGCAGCGTTAGGAAGGCTGAGAACTGTACAGGCCAAATTTGGGTACCCCAGGGTTAGAGGACCGTAATGGAGAAATGAGGGCCCCGATCTTGTTGAAAGCCCTGTTTCTTGCCCTATTTTCTCTGTCTAGTCCACCAGCCCTATAATGCTAGCACATGAAATGTGACAGACCTGTCATTTGTAATTAGCCAGTTCTCATGGCAGGTAAGAGGAAACAAAACAACCCAAAGGCATTTGTGCCCCTTAACCATCAGGGAAAGTTCTGAAAGCAACTAGCAAAAGACATTGTGTAGCAGACTGGGGTCTGTGTTTGGGGATGTTAGGATTCCTGAAGTAGATAGAGGACATCCTTCATTTGAATTCGGCCTTTCAGCCCCTTGCCTAGACACTCTCTTGTCCCTATGAGGACACACTTCCTCACACTGACACCATCTCACTTGGGCAGAGCCCTCAGCCTAACTTCTTAGAGTCCTGTAGTGTCCCTGGCCAGACCTAGTGATCACCTATTGGGATCAGCTCATTCAGAGAAATGCAACTGACCAGGAGCTTGGCAGCCCCGGCTGCAAATTAAACTTCAATGTAAACTTGAAGAAATTGGTTTGGCTTGCTTCGTTCTTGGGTGTCCCAAGCCTGAGCCATCTCCAGCCATTTTAAGTAGTCACGGGTTTCTGGTGGAGATGGGGTGGGGGAGAGACATCCAAACTGTTGTTTGTGTAGTAATGCTCTATATATTACCTAGGAAGACAGTCGTGTGTGAAAGAAAGGGGAGCAGAAGTCAGGGGTACCTCGGCTAGTGACAGCAGACCTGGGGAAACCCAAGCCCAACTTGAAGCGTCTGCACCCCCACCTGAGTACCCTGCCAAGCATCGTGTTCCTCAGCTACAGTTAAAAAGCGGTGACCCCTGTTGGGAGAGAGGTGTCCTGCCAAGGTGTGTCCTCACTGCTACAGGATGGACTCACACTGGCTCTGTGGAAAACTGTTCAGCAACAGAGCTAGAAAAAGTCAGTTCCGCTGAACCTGTCTTAAGAACCCAAAGATGCTTTGGCATCTGCTCTCTGGACACCGGAGAACTTCCAGTCAAAGCCAGCTGGGTAAATTCCTTCTGGCCACTGCCTGGGATGTGGGGAGCCATGAAATGTCAATAGTTCATCTGAAAAATTGCTCTGCCCAACATAATCAAGTAGCTGACAATGACCCTCATGGTAAACCGTGGCTTCAGGGTGATTAGAATAAATTCTTTAGCTTGTGGCTTGGGCCTGATGCTCAGCACACAGGCACGATTTGAATATAAATCTCAGTCTCTTGCCAGCACTCTTGGTGGTGGCTATTGAAACATTAGTTCTCGTGAAAAGTAGTTTTTGACACAGTGTGTACAGGCTACCTGTGGGGGCATTCTGGGTAGACAGAGCTCTCTTAGGCTGTGTGGGTTAGGTAAAGGGCTTCCTCTTAGTTAGGGCTTCCCCTACACCATGATCACCTTAGGATCCCTCGATCTGGAAGCTGCACAGAATGGCCCGCTGGGGTCTCCAGATGTGCAAGAATGAGAACACTTAGAAAATGTCCGCCCTCTGCATGCACTGGGTACCACACAAATAGGCAGTGTTGTGACCACCTCCCAGGAAAAAGTCTTACATCCCATCAGCTGTTTTATTTGTAGCAAAGCACGCATGAAGCTTGGCACCTTGTCACAGTCTAGCATGTAGCAGTGATGCCACACACATTCACACGTGGGTAGCCCTTAGCCACCCATCTCCACAACTCTCCCCGCCTCAAGAACAACAGAAAGTGTTAATAGTACGAGGCCTGGGTAGCAGGGAGAGTGCGTCAAAAAAGAGTAACTGGGCATCAATGGTAGCACTGGCTGGGAGCTCCACCATGGATCTATGCACTTGTTTCCCTGAGCCACTGAGGCAGAAACCACAGCCCACCTGCCTTACTGTGGGGCACAGCCCTGATGAGTAAAAATTATGTTTCCCTGTAAGCTAACATGGAGCAGGGCTGGCCCCTTTCTGAGGCTGTTGGCTCTGTCCTTTGCCTTTTAGCTTCAGGCCATTCTTTCTTGTTCCTTCATCACCAGCGCACATCACTGTGGCCTCAACTTTCACCTATCTTCTCTTATTGACCCCAGCCTCCCGTGTGGACAAACTTAGAGCCCTGTCAGGCTCACCTGGTAACCAGGTCAGGGTCCCTTCTCAGGACTGTCTGTCACTTTATCATACTGCAAGTTTCTTTTGCCATACGGGGTGACATTTTCCCAGACAGTTTCTCAGTAGCCAAGCAAACTCGTGGGGCATTCAACAGAAGCCTGCTCTCTTGCCCTCCAGAGTATTTCGTGTTCTGCCGTGCACCCTGTCTGGGTTGGGAGCCACACCTGCCTGCTGGCTCCAGAGTTCAACATTCACCTGTTGACCTGGTACCCAGCAAAAGCACCCAAAAGAAGGCTGTGTGACAGGGCTCTGCACCAACGCTCAGGAGAAGCAGGCTCGCTGCAGGGACTGGACAGACGCGTGTGTCTGCACATGGCCTTTCTCTTGTAGTCGTATCATCTACCTTCCCGCAAGCTTTCGGCTCCTCAGATCTGTCGATTGAGAACTGCTGTTCTCATGCATGTGGTTTATTCTCACACTTCCTGAGTTGTGTTCGTAACCCCACACTAAGCAGATACCCAACCAACCTTTTCCTAGGGGACTGTGCTGTGACACTGTGCCTCTGCTGCACCCAGCAGGCTGTGTCCTCAAGGTAGTCCCTGGGAGGTCACTCCCTCAGTAGCTGTGTCTTTCAGAGAAGAAAAAAATTCATGGATCTCCAAACCTACACTCATGCCATGGAAACAGAGTTAGCAACTAATAGCCTGAAAATCTGGGGCCCCACAGCTGCCTTGAATTCTTTGACTCTCAAAAAGTACATTCTGAGAAATATGCCATCATACCCCTCTCCTCAGCTGGACATCTCGTGGCAATGTGCAGATTTCCCATATTTGCATACCAAGTTGGGGCCCTGGGATGAGTCATCAGTGTCTTAGCACCAGATCCTTAAGGAGGTTGGAAGGACTTGGGTCCAGGGCCTAGAGCCAGTCTTGTAGATGAAGACAGGGCTCAGTATTCTGTCTCTCCAAGCTCTTACCCTCTGCCTTATGTGGGAGACCTGCAGAAGAGACAGACACTCCACCACAGCTAATATCTTTATACAGCCTCCAATGAGCCTGTAGCCTTCACGAGGTTGGGGTGGAGACAGCGCCTCTACCTTCCGCATGCTGCTGGCCAATGTGTATGTTCAGGTATTGCACGCCTTTTCCTGGAGAGACATGAGCAAACATTTGTTCAGCTAGACACCAGTGAGACCTGGCCCACACAGGTCCAGCTTAGTGAGCCAGCGAGTGTATTATGTTTCCTTAAAGGAACATGAGTGACCACGTAGGCAACGGTATCACTGAAAAGCTCACCCAGCATAGGGGAGGACTCATGAAAGCTGCATCCCTGGATTACAGTACCTAGATTACAGGCAGTTTTGGAAGCTGGAGAGATGGTTCAGCAGTTAAGAGCACTATCTGTTCTGCCAGAGAACCTTAGCTCTAATTCCTAGAACTCATATGACAGATCACAAGCATTTGTAACAATCATCCCAAGGGATCAGACACCTCCTTCTGACCTCTGTAGACACTGCATGCATGTGCTACATACATATATGGTGGAGGCAAAACACCCATATACATAAAATAAAAATAAGGGGAAATTACCTAATTAATTAAGGAGATTATTTAAGATTAATTAAGGAGATAATTAATCTCCTCTCCCAAACAAGCACTAATCTTATATGACTTTAGAAAGGAACTTAGTGAATCCTGTAAATTTCAGGAGCTTCCAGAGCCTTGTAAGTCAACTACTGAATCTTATTAGCCTGTCTAGGGGAGAATGTTTCAACTGGGAGAAAATAGCTCATAACATCAGAATCCTTAGGGACAAGCAGGCCAGTAGTGCTACAGGAGTCTCTAACCAGCACATGCCCTAACCATGACTGGCCCTGATGACTATGACATCATTGGAAGTAAACATCTTCTGAGAACTGTATCCACAGAGCCAAGAAGTCACAGTGGAAATGTGCTCTTCTCTTGGGTTTGAAGGTGCTCTTGCTGGTAGGAAATGCTCAGGGGCCAGGCTTTAGGCCAGGAGAGTATGTTGCCATGTCTGTTTTGAATGATTCAAATGTGTAGAGAGATGGTGCAAAGACAATTTTATGCCAACAGATAGCTGCAAGTTTCCTTCTATGCGGTGGTGGCTGCCGTGTTGCCTGGAGACAGAGCTAAGCGCTTGCCTGGGCCCTGGCGCACAGCAGGGACGGGCTGTGCTTGCCAGCCTGCCCGAGAACAGCCTGCCGCTGCTGAAGGCTCATGGGGTGCAGGGTGCTTTTCAAAATTCA